TCCCCCAATTTTCTCCGAACAGGACCCCTTTCCGTCTTGTCGCAATGTCGCAGACGGCGAAGAATGCTGTTCCCGCGGGTTCCAACATGGGCTGGCGCTACCTCCTGTTCACCATTGGCGCCATCACCCTCTCCGTCTTTCATCCTGCGCTTCTTCGTCTTTACCTTTCGCGAGACGCCCAAGTACCTGATCTACCGCGGCCAGGACGCCAAGGCCATCGAGACGCTGCATCACATGGGCCAGGTCAACAAGCGTCCGTGCAAGCTGACGCTCGCCATCTTCGAGTCACTCACCACCGATGACTCGTCCGTCGGGTCCGGGTACGGGTCCGGGTCCGGATCTGCTTCCAAAGCCATGCTCGGCGGCGGCGACCGCCAGCTGAAGCTCTCCTGGAACGAAAAGCTGCGGCTGGAAATGTCCCGCTACAAGATGCTCTTCGACGGCTGGCAGATGACGCGCCTGACCATCCTCGTCTGGCTGACCTACATCATGGACTACTGGGCCTTCACCGTCGCCGGCTTCTACCTGCCGCGCATCCTCGCCCTCAAGAACGGCGCCATCGATGTCAGCCTCACCCAGACCTACGCTGCCTACATCTACACCTACGTTCCCGGCATCTTTGGCGTGCTGCTCGGCGCTCTGATGTACCACATTCCCAGTTTCGGCCGCAAGTGGACCCTCGTGCTCTCGGCGGCCCTCATGAGCACGTCCATCTTTCTGCTGTCCGTCGTCGACACGCGCGCCAAGAACGAGGGCCTCTTCACGATGGAGTACTTTTTCCAGAGCATGTTCAACGCCGTGCTCTACGGGTGGACGCCCGAGGCGTTCCCGGCGCCCGTGCGCGGCACGGCCTGCGGTTTGGCCGGCTTCTGGGGCCGCCTGTTCGGCATCGTCAGTCCCCTGATTGCCCAGCACCTGTACGGTCGTTCCGAGGGCGAGGGCGATATCAATGCCGTCCTGTATCTGGCCGGCGGTGTCATGCTGGGTTGTGTGGTCACGACGGCGCTGTTGCCGACGAACAAGATGGAGACGACGGATGCCAGGATTCAGGACTAGGGAGGGCTCGGCTTGCCATGCGAGCATCGATCAGCAAGATTTCACGAGTATTTGGAACGTTATTGATCATAATAAATACATTCTGCTCGTGCCGAAGTTTACTGCCACTACTGTTCGAAGGTGTAGAAGGTACGAATCTTCCCATGACAACCATTCTCCAAGCCGCACCCAGACTTAATTTCCTTTGTCACATCAAAATAAGAGGCAACGAAGATGGACTGTGAGTGGAATCCGAGTCGGAAGACCCTCCGAGATCGTCATTTCTTCAGTTCATCCGACTTTCCGCTGAAGGATCATCAAATTTGTCCCGCTAAGCCGGGAAGAGCAGGTGAACTAACTGTTGCTGACGGCGCAGAATTTTGACCTGGGACTTTGGCAAGGAGACGTCTAGACCTCTCTCATTTCATCTCAGGACGCTGGAGAAGAAGCCAAAGCTACGACTCCCAAGCCCCCCCCCCCCACGCAAACACTCCTGTCGAACGCCGGCCTCTGCGGCGCGCTTCCTTCGCAGGGATGCTCAAACCTAAACCCTCCCGCGGCAGCACGGCGAGCATCCGAAAACAAGGGTCCTCTCACCGCTCCCCAACGTTATCATTTCCACATCTCACCGAAAAGAAAATGGACAAGCCGAGCGGCCCGAAGCGCGGCTTCTGCGCGGGATCTGACCTTCTCGGCCGCCCTTCGGAGCGCGGCCCGGCCAACCACCCGCACCACCCTTGCGGAGCCGGGGATGCGGCGCCTCGGTGAAGGATCTCGTCGTCTTGGCAGGCGTGATGCGGCCGCCTCCATCCTTCAAAGAGGATGCGATCCCCCGCCTGCGCATACTGCAGGGCTCAGGTCTTTGTGCAAGATGCCGCTGAGAACAGGACGTCGCTGCTGGGGCACGTGCGACACAACTCCCCCGTGGTCTCGACGCTGCCAGGTCGGGTCCGACTGCGTCGCCTGAGGAATTTTGAGCTGCAGGCATCCATGATGCCGTGGGGGTGGAGATCAAGGGGCTTCAGTATGGCCTGGACCGAGACCAAAGAAGGCAGCTTGATGGTGTCAGATCTGGTGATTTCACGAACTTTGCGAAAAACCCTCGACGTCTGACGCTGTCTTGCTTTCATCGCCGGCCCGGCTGCCGCTCGCCTGCACGTTTCAAGCACTCGTGGGAGCGAGCAAAGGACTTGATGATGTATCCATGTCTAGTTTCTCACTTGTATAAATGGCCGTTCGTGGACGTACCAGACGAGAAGAACCCATCAAAGGCCTCACAACAGTCACGATGCGTCTTCTGTCGATTCTTCAGATCCTGCCCCTGGCAGGCGGCGCTGCAGCGGGCTCGGCCTTTGCTAGAAACGATGAGCCGTCTCTCGGCGCAGCTGAGCCCACAAAGCAGTACATCATTGAAGTCGAAAAGGTTCGTCTCTCCTTCGTTGCACCCCGATCATCGCGACCAAACTAATGAAGTAGGACACGGACGTTGACGCTTTGTCCGAGAGTCTCAACGCTGAGGATCACGTCAAAGTCCTCAAGACCTACAACTCGGAAGTCTTCCGTGGCTTGACCATTGAGACGGACGTGTACAACCTCGACAGCATTGGACAGCTGGGAGACGTGGCCCAGGCGTGGCCTGCGAGCGTGATTGAACTCCCGGACTTGGGGCCTGGTGTGCAGCCGCCCAGCAACGCGAGGCTTGCCGCGGCGGCCAACTATTCCATCCATTCGTGGACTGGAGTGGACAAAATTCATGCTACTGGCAACTTTGGTCAGGGCGTCAAGGTAGCTGTTGTTGATACGGGCGTTGATTACAGACACGAGGCGGTCAGTATCACAAGATCACGTCAACCTTAAACATTCGCTGATTTTACTATAGCTTGGTGGAGGATTCGGCCCAGGTTTCAAGGTGTCAGGGGGTTACGATGTTGTTGGCGATGGTCAGTAATATGATCAACATGGGGAGACAGCAT